GCGGCGGCGCCTTCTGCTTTCTCTCACGACCGCTTCTGCGGCCAAAAGACGCGCAACCGACCCCAGGGGCCCCCCAGAGAGCCCACGACGGCCCCAGAGACCCCGGCTCCAGACCGAACAGCCTCCCAAGACGGCCCAAAAGAAGGCTCACCAGGGCCAGCTCTGGAACGCTCTCCCTCCCTCCCGCCCGTCCCACGGCCGCCAGCAAGCCCCCGGAGATAGCGAGGCCCCCAAGAGACGCTCCAAGACGGCCTCCGGGACACTCCCTGGAGGTTCCTGGAAAGCTTTCAGCAGCTCCTTACAGAAGTTGCTTTGACATGTTCCTTTTCCTTAAGACCCCAGTTCACTCGAACAAGTGATACCCCACGGGCTCCTTGAAGGCCTCCAGCAGCTTCCATCGACCTGCTCCGGTTGGCTCCCACTAAACTTCAGTGCATGGGAGACTGTCATATACACACCCACCCACACACATACACCTGTTGGGACACCTCTCGCGCGGGAGGGGTCCCAGATCATAGCTGTCAGATCCAGCCGCGGCCACCCGGGAACACTGTTTCTGCTAAGCGGTGGTGTGTGGTTGTTCCCGTCATCTTGAGCCTCCTCCTTCTCCTCCCCGTGGTCGCTCTCCTCCGTCGAAGGCGCTCCAGCCTGCGGAATCGGATCCGCACGATTTCGTGAAGGGGGGGGACGAGGAGGAGGACGACAAGGAGGAGGAGCAGGAGGAGGAGGAGGAGGAGGAGGAGTTTCAGGAGCCGAAGGACACTGACAGGCCAAGCACGACGACGAGGAGAAAATTGATGATGACGAAGCGGAGGTGGAGGAGAAGGAGACGGACGACGAGGACGAGCCAAGCACGAGGAGGAAGAAAGGGTGGAGGAAGAAGAAATGGCGGAGGAGGAAGAGGAGGAGGAGGTGGAGGAGGGGAGGAGGAGGAGCAGGAGTTGCTGCTTTTGCTCCTGCCCATGCCCCTGGATATGCTGCCGCTTATACTGCTAGCCCTGCTCTGGGCGCCGTCAAATTTGTCAAGCAAACAGCGCACCCTGAAGCAATGAGCAGCAGCACGGGCACTCTGACCACTGGCCTTCGTGGGCGGCAGTGCATGGGTCAGTCTTACTCAGCTACAACGCTGGGATCAGCGCGTGCGAGAAGGGCAAGCAGTGGCAGCGGGCTCTTGCGCTGCTGAGCAAGATGCGGGAGGAAACATTGAAGCCCGACGTCATCAGCCTCAGCGCTGGGATCAGCGCGTGCGAGAAGAGCGCGCAGTGGCAGGGAGCTCTGGCGTTGCTGATCGAGATGCGGGAGGCAAAGTTGAAGCCCGACGTCCCCAGCTACAGTGCTGGGATCAGCGCATGTGAGAGGGGCGGGCAGTGGCAGCGTGCTTCGTCGCTACTCAGCGAGATGCGGCACGCGAAGTTGGAGCCCGACATCATCACTACTTCAATGCTGGGAGAAGCGCGTGCAAAAGTGGCCAAACGTGCGTGGCCCCTCACCGCGCTCACAGCCCCCTGCCGCGCCTCCGGCGGTTCTTTGCTGCTCCTGAGCGCTCCAATGAGCCCCAAGACGGCCCAAGAAAGCTCCAACACGGCCTAAGCGTAACCCTGGCCGGCCCGAGCTTGCATTCCCGGCGGCCCCAGCAGCGCCCAGGTCGTTCTCGAAAGCTCCGAGAGGGCCCCCAGACAGGCCTCGACGAGAGTCAATGGACGACTTCTCTATGGTTTTTTCTATAGTTTCCGTGTCCTCCTTTTTCTTGCATCCAGCGCGCCCGAGACGTCCCAGGATGCCCCCGATCGCTTCCCAAGACGGTCCAGGAGGCCCCGCAAAGAGCTCCGAGTCGGCCCAAGAGGGCCCTAAGATTGCACCAGAGAGGTCCACGCTACCCTCCCAGAGCCTCCTCAAGAGGGCCAAGGAGCTGCCGAACAGGCCCCACAGCAAGCTCCAAGATGGCCCGAGACCCCGACCATGGCCCAGGACGGCCCGCGGGGCCCCCGAGACGACCCAAGAGAGCAGGAGGGCTCCAAGAGGGGCCGCATGGAGTCCGCGGGGCCCCCGAGACGGCCCAAGAGAGCCTCTGAATGACTCATGACGGCCCCACGAGGCTCCAGAGAGACCCCCAGGAGAGCTCCAAGAGGGGCCGCAGGGAGTCTAGGCCGCGGCCTTCCAGCAGCCCCCAATGGGCCACGAACTCTCCAAGGACCAGTCCGAGATGCCCCAGAGTCTCCAAAGAGATTCCGATAGTTGCCCAGGAACTCTCTAGGAGAGCGCCTCCATCCACGGCACCCTGTCGCCGATTCTCGAACCCTAAACGCCCCCAAGAAAGGCCCAGACCCCAAAGCACGCCCTGGACCACTCCGAGATGCCCCAGGGCCTCCCAAGGAACTCTGCTGGTTCCCACGGAGCTCCCAAGAGAGCCTCTAGCCCCGGCACCTCTCCCCGTGCGTGGCTCCCCGGTAGCCTCCAAGAAAGCCCCTGACCCCAAATCAAGGCCCGACAACGGTGTGGCCCCCCACCTCCAAAAACACTGGCCCAGGGAGATCCGTAGGCACTCCCAAAACACGCCCGCCCATCCCAAGACGCCCTCGAGCGCGCCCCAAGGCGGTTCAAGAATGCCCCTGGTCAATCCGAAGACAGCCCAACGATGCCCTCACACCCAGCGCTGCCCAAGGCCACAGAGCTCCCAAGAGAGCCTCTAGCCCCGGCACCTCTCCCCGTGCGTGGCTCCCCGGTAGCCTCCAAGAAAGCCCCTGACCCCAAATCAAGGCCCGACAAGGGTGTGGCTCCCCACCTCCAAAAGATCCGTAGGCACTCCCAAAACACGCCCGCCCATCCCAGGACGCCCCCGAGCGCGCCCCAAGGCGGTCCAAGAAGGCCCCTGAGCAATCCGAAGACAGCCCAACGATGCCCTCATACACCCGATATTCACGATACGACCCCCAGTGCAGCCCCAAGACGGTCCAAGATGATCTGGGACGCCTCCAGGCGTTTGAGAGGTCGCCAATATGGCTTGCAGACGGCCCAACGGGCCTCAAGATGGCTGAAGAGGGCTTTTCGCGTTTCCGACGCTCCAAGACGGCCCGAGATTACCCCAACATCGCCTCAAGGCAGACGGCCCACCAGGCCCCCAAGAGGGCCCCGGGACAGCCCAAGACGGCCGCAAGACGGCCGAGGAGGCCCCCACCGGCCCATGACAGCTCCAAGAGAAACGCCAGAGAGCCCCAAGGGGGGGGGGGCTCGAACTGTCATTTCGCACCCTCCGCCCCAAGAAGACGACCCCCGAGACCGCCAGCGGGCCCCCAAGAGGACCCCCAGAAGTCCCAGGAGGCCTCAGGGGCCCGAATCGGGCCCCGAGCGGCCCCCAGAGGCCGGGAGACACCGCCAGCAAAGCCCTCCGAGAGGCTTCCGAGGGAAGCTCCCTCCGAGAGCTCTGCCGTCCGCGCCGGCCACCCAATAGAGAACCCCATGAGCGACCCAAGAGGAGACCAGATGTTCGGCCGCACGCGCGCCGAGGCCATCGAGACAGCCGTGCGGTGGCCTCTTCGCCTGCCTCCCCATCTCGCTCCTCGCTCCTCGCCGCCCTCTCCTCGCTCATTTGCCTCTCTCTCTCTCTTTCCTCGCTCCCATTGCTCCTCTCTTCTCGCTCTCCCTCGATCCTCCCTCCTCTGCCCTGGCCCCACGCCTCTCTCTCTCTTTCTCTGTCTCTCCGCGGCGCCAGCACAGAGCGGGAAACCAAGCACCTCGCACCCGCCACGTGGCACCGAACGCAACTGAAAGCACGCCTCTCATCACCCTCCCACATGCCTCCCCGAAAGTATCCCTCCATCTCCGTTGTCCGATCCTGTTCCCCAGAAGCCTTCGGACGCCTCATGCGACGAAGCGCCCCTGGACATGATTAACGAATGAACAGCGAACACAGGTCTAAGCTTGGCTTTCTCCGCAGCTCCTCCTTCGCCGCAGAACCAAGCAACCCGCAGCAACGCCCGATACACCAAACCCGACGCACTGGATCGCAAGTCCCATGCCACGTCGCACCTCAAACAAACGTGCCGACATCTCCACAACATTCCACCGAGATCCGAGAACACATCCACGCACCCGCAGTGAACGCACAGCAAACATGATTGCATGCTCGGCACCCTCACCCTCAAAGTTTCCGCACCCCGCATCCAACGCAGTCCGCCGACCACCTGCCGAAGCGGTCGCCTAAATATTCTGGCCTATATTTGCTCCGCCCGCGCTCTACCCCTTCCGAGGCGCTGGCTGACATCCCACGTGATCTTGGCTGCCACCGAGCCGAAGAGCAAGCGACAATGCAACCCAGCACGCGAGCAGGCGAGCTGGCAGGCATGGGATTAGGAACGTTGGCCAGCAGGCAAACAGAAACACTTGGTTTAGAGTTGCTTGGGCAGCAGGCTAGCAGCCACGCGCGCAGGGCAGCGCGCAAGCATGACAGCAGGCAGGCGATTTCCACCCCTGCGTGCGAATCAGCTGTCTTGGACGTGAGTCCACGGGTCCGCCGTAGTCAGCTACATGGCTGCGACCTGCGCGTGTGAGAGGTGCGGCCAGTGGCAGCATGCGTTGTCGTTGCTCAGCGAGATGCGGGAGTGCAATGTGGAGACGGACGACATCAGTTATAACGTGTGCGCCACAGCGTATGAGAGGTCGTCTCTCGACTCGGCAGGATTCCCAGGCTATCGTGGGATCGGTCTTTCGCAATTTCGCGTGTCTTGCGAAGCATTGCGCGTGTGAGAACTTGTTGGGCAACCGCTGCGATTACGTGGACGAACATCCGTACTGTGAATTTGACAGCGGACTCAATCGCGCAATAAGTTGTTTCGGATAACATTGCACGGATCCGCTCTGGTCGGCTACAGCGGTGAGATCAGCATTTGTGAGAGGAGAGACGTGTAGTGAAAGTGAAAGTGGGTCATGCCGTTCTTTATCGAGATGGTGATAATCAAGTTGGGGCCCAATGTCGACAGGTGCTCAGCGAGGTGCGGGATGCGATGTCGGAGCCCACGGTCATTTGTACCAATTCTGAGCGAATCGCGTGCCAGATATGAACGCAGTGCGCTTGCTCCCGTGCCCCCGACACTGGGCCAGGATGCTCCAAGGACGCCTTGAGCTGCTCGTAAGATCCAGTGCCCGCAGGAGGGCCCAGTTGAGTTTACGACACTCCAGAGAGGGTCCACGGTCCCCGAACGGATCTACGATTGCCCCAAGATGCTTCTGAGGGAACCCGAAGCCGCTTCTCAAGTCTCCCTCCGCGCTCTACTCATTTAGCTTCCTCGCTCCTTCCTCGCCTTTCTCCTTGATCCTCGTTGAGCCCCCGTTTTTCCCACCTCCATCCTCGAACCTGACTCCTCGCTCCCTGCTCTTCGCTTCTCCCTCCTCGCTCCCCTCGCGAGCGCCAGGCTGCGTCAGCCAATTGGCAGGACTCCGGAGAAGCAGCACCCCGCAGGCTAAGGAGCAGAAGCAGCGCACAGCAGCAGCGCGCAGCCCTCCGCAAGCACCACCCGCGGCAGAACGGAGGCAGCAAACACCAGCAGCATGGGACAGGCAGCAGCATCCTGCAGCTGCAGGCAGCAGCAGCAACACCACATCTGGGGCCCAGCGTCATCATGGAAGTCCTCTCCCGCAACAGCTCCGCCCCGAGCCAACGTGCCACCTCGGACAAACTTCGGGGCTAGCATGCCGCGGGTCAGCACCAGTGGACCTCTGCGTGCGAGAAGGTATTTCGCTTCCATGGCCGTTGTTTCCTTCCGCGGGGCCCCGGGAGGCCGAAGCGCGTCCCCGGGGCAGTTTGCGCAGCCGTGTGGGCCTCTGGCCACGCCCCAGACACGAGCCAAGGGAGCCCAGAGACAGCCGAGGAGGCGCCCAAGACGGCCCCGACGGCCTAAGAGGCCCCCAAGACGACCCAAGAAAGATCCGCGGGGGCTCCCAAGGCAGCCCCGAAAGGCAAACATGGTTTCATTCCCTGGGAGAGTTTGCAGCGCTTTGGCTCAGCATGTTTTGTCTTCGCAGCGTTCCAGCAGGCTTTGGAGGCGACCTGGAGTCCCCCAAGACAGCCGCAGCTCCCATGAGAGTCCCAAGACGGTCCAAGAGGGCCCCAGGACGGTCCAAGAGATGCCCAAGACGGCCCACGAGGGCCCCAAGAGGCCCCCAAGAGAGCGAACTCGAAGTGACATTTTGCGGTCTCCGCTCCAGGACGGGCCCGGAAGCCGCCAGCAGGCCCCTGAGATGCCCCCTAGAAGCCCAAGGAGTCCCCCAAGACTTTCAGGCCCCAAGGGGGCCCCTAGAGGCCCCAAGGCACCCCAAAACATAGCCTCGAAGAGGCTTTCGAGGGAAGATCCTACGGAGCTCTGTGACTGTGCCGGCCACCCATGAGAGACCACATAAATGAGCGAAAGAGACGAGATGTTTGGCCGCACCCGCGCCGAGGCCATGGCGACATGCGTGTGCTGGCCTCTTCTCATGTATCCTTTCTCGATCCTTGCCCCTCGCTCCACGCGCATCTCCCCTCCCCCTCTCTCTCCTCGCCCCTCGCCTCCCTCGCCTCGCTTCTGGCTTCTCCCTTCTCGCTCGACCTCGCTCCTTCCACCTCTCTCCTGCCCCCTCGCTTCTCCCTCCTGGCTGCTTGCGACGGCCTACCCTTTCCTCCGCGGCCCTCCCTTTCTCCATCCTCGCATATTTCTCTCTCTCTCTCTCTCTCTTTCTCTTTCCGCGGCCGTCGCGCCTCGCTTCTCGCACCGTGCTCCTCGCTGATCGCTCCTCGCTTTCTCCCCACCCCTCCCCCCTCGGCCCTGACTCATCGCTCATTGCTGCTCGCTCCTCGCTCACTCACGAGCTCCAGGTTGCGTTAGCTGGCAAGGATACCAAGACGCAGCACTCTGCAGACCCAAACAGCAGCGAGCAGCAGCATTCCGCAGCAGGCAAAGGCGGCACAGCAAAAGCAGGCAGCACCAAGAACATACCGCAGGCAGAGGCAAGCTACATCTGAAGGCAGCAACAGCAAAGCCGAAGTTCGGGCCCAGCGCCATCTCGAAAGCCTTTCGGCTACATCTCTGCCCTGGTCCAACGTGCCATCTCGGACTTCTGTCGTGGACATTCGGCCACGGATCCGCCCCAGTCAGCTACAGCGCTGGGATCAGCGCGTGCGAGAAGGGCGAGCAGTGGCAGCCGGCGCTGGCGTTGTTGTCCGAAATGCGGGAAGCGAAGCTGGAGCCCGACGCCATCTCTTCTACAATGCAGGGACCCGCTCGTGCGAGAAGGTCCTCTGTCTTGAGTGGCTCCCCGGGCCCTCTGGGGAAGGCCCTTTGTCAGAGACGCTCACGAGAGCGCCCAGGCGCCCCAACAGGGCCCCGTAGGCCTCCGAGGCAGGCCGGGAGGCCCCCGAGACGGCCCAGGAGGACCCTCGGGAGAGCCCCAAGAAACACAAATCGTTGCGTTTCTCTTTTTGGGAAACGTGCATTTGTTCGTTTGTCCGTTGTTTTCGTTCGCGCGTTCTCCAGAACGGCTGTGCAGGCCCCCAAGATCGCCCCAAGAGGCCCCCAGACGCACCCAGAAAGGTCCCAAAACGGCCCGAGACGGCCCTGGGACTGCTCCATAGGCGCCTGAGACGGCCCTAGTGGTGTCCAGGACAGCCTCACAAACGCCCATTCATGGCCCGAAGACGGCTCATAGACGCTCGGGAGGGCGCACCGACGCCCTGAGAGGACCCCAGGCGAGCTCCACGATGGCCCTTGAGGCCCCCAAGGCGGGTCAGGAGGCCCCCGAAACGTCCCAGGAAGGTCCCCAGGAGAGCCCAAAGAGGCCAAACATGGTCCGTTCCCTTCAGAACACAAATTTTGCCCCCGAGGCCGCCCCAAACCGCCCCCAGACGCCCCCAGGAGGGCATAAAACCGCCCAGAGACGGCCCTAGGACGGCCCCAGAGGCGCCCGAGACGACCCAAGAGGCAGCCAAGACAGCCCCCAAAGCGCCCAGTAACAATCCAAGATGGTCCCAAAACTGCCCCCAAACGGCTCCAGATCGCCCCAAGACGGCCCAAGAGGCACCCAAGACGGCCCAAGAGGGCCCTGCGAGACCCGCAGGAGGACGAAAAGAAGCCCCCAACAGGCCTTGGATAGTTCTCCTTTGGGGAGCGTTGAATTTTGGCGTCGTCTTGGGATTCTCTTGGACAAACTGGGAACCATCTCGGGCGTCTTGGGGCGATGTGCTCGAAAGGTTGGTTCGTGCCCTCACACCGGGGCCCGTCTTATTGAGTTCGTGGGGCCCTCTTGGGCCGTCTGGGATGCCTCTTGGCCCGTCCTAGACACATATTGGGTCGTCTCGGTGCCCTCTTGCGGGCCTCATTCTCGCCGCATGACTAAATAAGCATACCCCTCGGCCCTGGCGAAGAGCAGATCAAGTTGTCACGGCGACCCGCCCCGCATAATCTATGATGGACACAGAGCGCGTTATGAGAAACAGCTCCAGTCCACACCATGTCGTGCCTTCATGGGTGTGATTTTATTGACACCGCCTCCACCACCGCGACCCTGCCGTTAAGTCTGCTTGCCTGCATTCCTGGCTCACTTTCCCGTTCAGCGGCCACCTTCCCATCCACACCGTCCTTCCAGCCTCCCCCCCTCCCCGCGAGGCCCCGGAGACGCTCCACTTCACGTCCACATCATTGCGGGCAAATTCCGTGGTCAGCTACTTCGCTGGGATCAGCGCGTGCGAACAGAGCGGGCAGTGGCAGTGGGCCCTGGCGCTGCTGAGCGAGATGCGCGAGGCGAAGCAAGAACCCAACGTCATCAGCTACAACGCTGGCATCAGCGCGTGCGAAAAGGGCGGGCAATGGCAGTGGGCCCTGGCGCTGCTGAGCGAGATGCGCGAGGCGAAGCAAGAGCCCGACGTCATCAGCTACAACGCTGGCATCATCGCGTGCGAGAAGGGCGAGCAGTGGCACCCGGCGCTAGCACTGTTGAGCGAGATGCGGGAGGCGACGCTGGAGCCCGAAGCCATCAGCTACAACGCTGGGATCAGCGCGTGCGGGAAGGTCGAGCAGTGGCAGCGGGCCTTGGCGTTGCTGAGGGACATGTGGGAGGCGAAGCAAAAGCCCAACGTCATCTATACTACAATGCGGGGCCCCGCGCGTGCGAGAAAGGCGATTCGGACCAAAATGGCGTAGCAGGCCCCTGCGAGCCCCAGCAGGCCCCAGCGCGCTCCGAGACGCTCCAAGATGGCCCAAGAGCGCTCCGAGACACCCCTGGAGGCCTTCACGAGGGCCCCAAGACGGCCCAAGACGGCCCAAGAGGGCTTCCGAGCGCTCCAAGACGCCCAAGATAGCCTCCCGACAGCCCAAGAGGCCTCCCAGGACGCTCCAAGTGGGCTCCAAGACGAGCCCCAAGAGAGCCCTAACCAGGACAAGTCGTCCCAATCCCTACGGGAAACTTTCATTGTTGCAATTCCCGCGCTGTGCGTCCGCAGCGCGTCCAAGACGGCCATACAGGTCCCCAAGATCGCTCCAAGACGCCCCAAGAGTGCCTCCAGGGGGCCCCCAAACGGTCCCAGGCGGCCCCAGGAGAGTCCAAGAGGCGCTCAGGACAGCCTAAGAGGGCTCGAAGAGCGGCCCAAGACGGGCCCGAGACAACCCTAGAGGCGCCCAAGAACGCCCTAAACGCCTTAAGACGGCCCCAAGAGGCGCCCAAGACGGCTCCAAGAGGCCCCCAAGCGGCCCAACGTAGGCCCAAGATGCCTCCAAGCGGCCCCCAGGAGGCCCCCGAGAGGCTTCCAAAACTGCCGCCGAGAGCGGAGAGGCAGACGAGAGGCGTGATGCCCCTCGCAGGACTCGAGGAGCAGCTCTCAACGCTCCGGGGGCTCTGGAGGCTTCTCTTCGGGGGGGGCGTTGTCGTAGGATCCACGATTGACGATCGACGATCGAGGGGATGAAGGATCGAAGGCAGGAGGAGGAGGAGGCGGATCCAGCAGCAGCGAGCTCCAGCAGCAGCAGCAGCAGCAGCAGCACGCCTTGACAGCCCCAGGTGCGAGTCTCCCCCCCCCCCCCCCGCGGGGGTGGAGGTATTAATTTTCAGATACTTCCACCCCCCGGGGGAGGGCGCCCGCGGCCTGGTCGAGGCGCCCGATGGTCCAAGACTGCCCAACGATGGCCGAAGACGATCGAAGACGGCCCAAAGATGTCCCAGGACGGCCCCAAGATGGTCCAAGGCGGGGCAAGATGCTCCCTAAGACGGCCCCCGCTGCGGGCCCCCCCCCGCCCGGGGATGGGGGCATTTCTTTTCAGACGAATATGCCTTTACCCCCCGGAGGCGAGGAGGGTAAAACGACTCGAAGATCGGGACGAAATCGGATCGGGATAATTCGAAATCTCTTAGAATCGGCGGGTTTGGAGGATGTATTGGGCGCCGCGGCCGCTACAGAGCGTTCCCGAACGCTCTGAGAGCGCTCCGGAACGCTCTGGAGCGATTTATCTCGATCCTAGCCCTGCTTCAGAGGGGCCGGGCTGGTCGAAGCAGACGGTGCCAGATGCTCCCAAAGCGGCCCCACCCGCGGGTTTCCCCCCCCCCTCGGGGGGCACGGGCGCGGGCTGGAACGGAGCCAACGCCAGGGATCCCCGCGCATTTCCTTCTTCTAGGCCTCTTCGATGGGGTCAGAGTAGATGGGGTCGGAGGATCGCGCCGCATCGCCGTTGCATCGCCGATGCATCAGCGATGCATCGGCGATGCGGCTCGATGTGGTGCCCAATTTCCTCCACGCCGACGTCGCCGATGCATCGCCGACGTCGCCAGTGCATGGCCGATGCACCGCCGATGCATCGCCGATGCATCGCCGCTGTATCGGCGATGCGGCGAGATCCTCCGACCCCAACTAGGAGGCCTCTACTTCGAGGCCTCTACTTCGAGGCCACTACTTCGAGGCCTCCTCCTACTCCGACCCGAATCTAGGAGGCCTCTACTTCGAAGGCGACCTGCCGCGTACGTTGCGCCCCGGGCGGCGCCGGACCAGGCCGCGCGCGGGCGGACGTCGCCGCCCTTTGCGTCGTGCGGCGGCAGCTCGCCCTGCCCCCCCATCGCGGCGGGGCGCGCGTCCGACCCCGCAGCAGCGGTCTCTGTGGAGATCGAATTGGACTTCGCACCCTCTGGGCGAACAGAATGGGACAGCAGCCAATTGATTCTACAGGCTTACGCCACATCCGCCGACCCCTTCTGTGACTGTTGCGAGGCCAGGAGTTTCTGGCCAGCGGCGTCTTGTGTGAGGGTGCGGTGTCGCGCGCGGGTGGTGGCAGATACGTAGGGGGTCCACATGTTTGCGTGATGCCGGTGGTCTGGGGCGTGTTTTGCGAGCGCTTTGCGTGCTGTGCACCCGGGTGCGGGGTGTCCTTCTGGGAGGTCGGCCTCTCGCCCCTCAACCAAGTGGAGGAGCACCGGAAGACGAAAGGAGCAAGAGTAGCGTGCGGAAGCTGTGATCAGCGAAGCATCACCGCGAAAGATGTGGCAGATGAGTCGAAACGGGTGAAGAGGCTGTTGACGTTCGCAGCGCGCACGAAACAGTTCGCGTAGCAGCAGCACGTCGCGTAGCACAGCGCCGAGCAAGATTGTGAGCACGTCGCGAGGAAGAGCAAGGCTGCATGCGCGGAGTGCATTGCAGTTGGCTTGACGGCTCGCAATGCGGAAGCGTCTGGTGGTCTTTTGGAGGCCTCCTGGGGGCCTCTTGGGGGCTCCTTGGGGCGTCTTGGCGGCCTCTTGGGGGCCTCTGGCGGCCTCTTGGGGCACTCTTGGGGCCCCCTGGGGCTCGTGGGGGCGGGAAGCTAGATTTTTGAATTTTTGGTTGCCCTCTTGGGCCCCTCTTGGTGCCGTCTTGTCGGAAATGCGCGGAAGAACGTCAGAGGACGACGCTTGAGTCCAATAATAGGAAACGGAGAGCCGAGGCGGAAGCGAAGCCGCTGACGTGCGCGGCGTGCGGAGGAGCGTTCTCAGACACGAAACATTTGAGGCAGAGCCAAAAAGAACATCATCGATGGTCGAATCAAAAAAAGGTGGTGTGCGGAAGCTGCGCGGCACTCGGGTTCACAGCCCGCAGTTGCCAGGCGTATCAGTGCAGCGGCGCGTGCAAGAGAAGACTACCGAAGTCGGCGTTCCCCGACCCTCACAATGTCCCGCGCGACGCAAAAAAAGGCACTCTGAAGTGCAAGACCTGCAAATGATGCCGAATCGGGCGCGCGCGCTGAGGAAAAAGGAGAACGAGGACAGGAGAATGGGGGGTGAGGCGGAGGACACAGGGGAGAATCATCGAACGTGTCGAGGTGACGGGCCATGAACAAGAGGAGGGGGACGAGGAGGAGGGGGACGAGGAGAGGGTGGTTGAGGAGGAGGATGAGGGGGACACTGAGAGGAGGCTCTGGGTTATGGTCTTTGGGTGAGAGGTTCTTGTATGTGTATCGGAATTTCGCGGCACTCCTTTCGGGGGCCTCTGGAAAGCAGTTTTGACGCCACTGGGGGGCCGACGTGGACAAGGCGGGTGAGGGGGAGGAGGAGGGGGACGCGGAGGAAATGTTCTGGGTCATGGTTTTGGAATTCTTCGCCTCGGGAGCGCGAATCCCGCTTGTGCGATGATCGCTGGGATCTCTGGTGGTGCTTCTCGCGGGACTCTTGGAGGCAGTTTCGAAGCCTCTTGGGGGCCGTTTTGGGGCCGTTCTGGGGCCTCTTGGGGGGCCTCTTGGGGCCTCTTGGGGGCGTCTTGGGGGCCTCTTGGGGCCTCTCGGGGCCTTTTAGGGCCGTCTCGGGGCGGAAGGCTCGGGATGTCAGTTCGGGCTCCCTCTCTTGGGCCCCTCTTGGGGCCGTCTTGGGGCTCTCTTGGGCCGTCCTGGGGGCCTCTTGGGCTGTCTTGGCGCCCTCTTGGGCGGACTTGGGCGCGTGTTGGGGGCCTCTTGGGCCGTCTTGGGGCGGTCTTGGGGTGCTCTTGGACCGTGTTCAACGCCGTGAAGGCCGAGAAGCCGTATATGATCAAAATGTACGTTTTCCATAGGAATTTGAAGATTTTCGGCTCTTCGGCCCTTCTGAGAACTGCTCTTGGAGGCCTCATGGGCCGTCTTGGAGGCCTCTTGGCCCGTCTTGGGGCCATCTTGGGCGCCTTGGAGCGTTCGTTTGGCGTCTCGGGGCCCTCGTGGGCCGTCTTGGAGGAGTCTTGGGGCCTTCTTGGGCCGCCTTGAGAGACTTTTGAGCCCAAAGAAGCTCCGTGAGTCGCTCGGGCGGGGCCATGGGGGGGGGGTCAAATCGCCAGTTTGGGGTCCCTGGGGGGGGACTGTAGGGGGGGGAACTATCTCACACGCCTAGGGACCCACAAGGGGTCGGCGGATATGACTCTGGGACCTCTCCGCATTCTTCGGACGAGCATCTGGGGGGCCCAGGAGATTCGGACATGTCTTCCCCATTCCTTGCCCTGTCCCGTTCTGTTCGCCCGAAGGCCTCCACAGACCCTCTGGGCGAACAGAATGGGACATGGCGAACAAACCCTCCCGTTGGCGGTGATGCGACTGGACGCGCCCGGAGGTGACGGCCGACCCAACAGCGGTTTCTCTTAAGAGTGCACTGGATTTCAAATGTTCTTGAAGCTCTCCTGGGCCCTCCCTCATGGAGAGCCTTGCGAGCCTCCCCGGCGCTCCCGGAGGCTTTTTCCCCGAGGGCCCCCCGAGCCCTTCCCCGGGCGCTCCCGAGACGCCTCGGATGGGCTTCGACTTTGACGTACATCCCCGAGAGACTTCAGGACTGCCCTGAGTAGGAGGGGGGCGAACAAGCCGTGCGCCGGGGCCAAGCTGCTGGAGTGCTGCAAGAGCTCGGACACGAAGGCGCGGTTTCGCTGCCTCCGCCCTGGCCGCCGCCGTGCTTATTGGCTTTCGTCGAAATCTCCGCCGTTCCTCCGAGAACCATTTCAGAAAGATGTCGTGGACGGAGTCCACAGGTAAGCCCTAGTCAGCTACAACGCCGGGATCAGCGCGTGCGAGAAGGGCGAGCAGTGGCAGCGGGCGCTGGTGTTGTTGACCGACATGCGGGAGGCGAAGAAAGATCCCGACGTCATCAGTTACAGCGCTGGGATCAGCGCGTGCGAAAAGGGCGAACAGTGGCAGCGGGCGCTTGCGCTGCTGAGCGAGATGCGGAAGGCGAAGCTGGAACCCAACGCCATCAGCTACAACGCTGGGATCAGCGCGTGCGAAAAGGGCGGGCAGTGGCAGTGGGCCGTGGCACTGTTGAGCGAGATGCGGGAGGCGACGCTGGAGCCCGACGTCATCTCTTCTACAATGCAGCGATCGTTGCGTGCCAGAAGGTCCTCTGTCTTGAAATGTCCGCCCGGCCCTCCGGGGCGCCCTCTGGGGCGCAGATGCCCCAAATATGGCCTCGGGATGGCTCCGAGAGGCTCACGGGGGCGCCCAGACGGCCTCAGAGCACCCTTGGGAGCCCCAAGACAGCCCCGGAGGCCCCCAAGGCAGGCCAGGAAGCTCCCAAAACGGCCCAGGAGGACCTCCCAGGAGAGCCCAAAGAGGCCCAAATCGTCAGTCCCGACGAGGAGCGTACATTTTCAATCTATCTTTCTTGTTCGTCCTCGCACGTCCAAGACGGCTATACAGGCCCCCGAGCTCGCCCCAAGACGCGCCCAGACGCCCCCAGGAGGGTACCCAAATTGCCCCATACGGCCCCGGAACGGCTCCAGAGGCGCCCGAGACGGCCCAAGACGCACCCAAGACAGCCCCAAGAGCAGGTAATAATGGCCCAAAACGGCCCCACTGCCCCGTCTTCAAGACGGCTGCAGAGGCCCCCACCGCCCAGTCTCCAAGACTTTCCGTTTGGACAGCCTCCAAGACGGTCTCTGGGCCGTCCGGGACGAAACACCAAAGACAGCCCCAAGAGCACCCAATATTTGCCCAAGATGGCTCCAAGACTGTCCCAAGATGCCGAGAGGCGCCCAAGACGGCCCCACATCGCCCAAGACTGCCCAAGACGCACTCAAGATTGCCAAAGAGGGCTCCAAGAGACCCCCAGGAGGACGAAAAGAGGCCCCCAAGCGGCCTTGTATGCTTGTCTCTTGGGGAGCGTCGAACTTCCAGCATCGTCTTGGGGACTTCTTGGACCCTCTGCGAGCCATCTCTGCGCCACTTGGGAACGTCTTGGGGCGGTGCGCTCGAAAGGTCGATTCGTGTCCTCGCACTGGGGCCCGTCTTAGGGAGTTCCGTCTCGCCGCCCTCTTGCGGGCCTCCTAGGCCGCGCCCACTGGCCCCATTGTCACCACACTACCAACTAAAATTATCATTCGGCCCCAGCGAAGAGCAGATAGCTTCTCACGGCTACCCTCCCCACAGAAGCTATGATGATGAACACAGACTGCGGCGTCAGAAGCAGCTTTTGTCATGCCTACATGGGTGCGCTTCCACAGACACCGCCTCCACCACCGCGACCCTGCCTTCAGGCCTGCTTGCCTGCATCCCTCGCCCACCTCCCCCTCCAGCGGCCACCTCCTCCATCCACGCCGTCCCCTCCAGCATCCCCTTGTCCGCGAGGCCCCAGAGACGCTCCACTTCCACGTCCAAGCCATGGCGGGCAAATTCCGCGGCCTGAAGGCCGCGGATCAGCCCTAGTCAGCTACAGTGCTGGGATCACTGCGTGCAAGAAGGGCCAGCAGTGGCAGCGGGCGCTGGTGCTGCTGAGCGAGATGTGGGAGGCGACACTGGAACCCAACGTCATCGTCATCTCTACTACATTGCAGGCATACGCGCGTGCGCGAGGGGCGTGGGTTGGGGCGCAGAGCTCAGGCGCCCCAGCGGCCCCTGTGGGCTCCTCCGAGCACCGGCAAACCCTGGCGCGCTTTCAGGAGGCCCAAAAGCGTTCCGAGACCACCCCGGGACCCCCCCAAAGACGGTCCAAGAGGGCCTCCGAGACGGTCCAAGAGCGCTCGCTGACTCCCAAGATAGCCCCCAGACGGGCCAAGGGGCTCCCAAAACGCTCCAAGTGGGCTCCAAGAAGAATCCCGAGAGAGCCCGCACAAGCAAAAATATTCTTACCGTTCCCGAGGCGCCCACGACTGCCCAAGAGTCACCCAAGGCAGCCCCAAGAGCGGCCAAAGACGGCCCAAGATGGCCCCAAAACAACACCAAGTCGGCCCCAGAGGCGTCCAAGACTGCCTCTGACGGCCCCAAGACGGTCCAAGAGGGCCGCAAGAGGCCCCCAGGAGGCCGCCAGACAGTCCAAGGGGGCCCCACAAGGCCCCCAGAAGCTGAAAAGAACCCCCGAGAGGCCCCCAAACAGTTCCCAAGCAGAAGGAAGCGCCCGCCATCAGCGGCCGCATAGGAAGCGTTGCCCTCCTCTGCGGGTGCGGGCGCGAGCGAAAGAGCGCCGAGTAATGAACAGCAACATGGGCGCTACTTCCGTTTACTACTGCCTCCCAGCTCCAGGGCGCCCTTCGCCGCTGCCGCCCAAGTGAGGCGAAATACACCAGAGGCCTCCAGGGAGCGCAGTCCCCAACACAGTGTGATCCCAGAGGGGCGCGGAGACGGCGCCCAAAAGTACGTGGCTCCCTGCGCGTCCACAGTGAGCCCCCATGCACAGTTCACCGTGCGACATTCCGAGTGCTCTTGGGCAGCATCGATCTCTTCCGTGGACACGAAGCAGACAGAAGCAGCGGCGGCACACAGCAGCAGCAAGCAGCGGCAGGCAGCGGGTAGAAGCACGCACCAAGCAGAACTGGCCATCATGAACAACCTGCAGCCACAAGCAGCAAGAACACGCAGCAGCGACCTCAAGCACTGCCAACAGTACGCAAAAGCAGCAGCAAGCAGCAGCAAGCACGCAGTAGCATGCGCGGAATGTGAGGTCGGGCCCCATTATCAGATGCCAGTTCGTGCAGATTTCGTGGACGGAGTCCACGGGTCAGTCCTACCGACGTCGCCAGCCTCCTGCCGGTGCCCACAACCCACGACGACGACCACCACCACCACCACGACAAATACGCCGATTACGACGGGTACCACGGCGGCCTCGCGGCGGCGACGACAATGACGCCGACGATGACGACGACGGCGGCCCCGCGACGGCCAAGCTGCTGGAGCGCTGCTAGAGCCCGGACACGAAGGCCCGGTCTCGCTGCCGCCGCCCTTGCCGCCGCTGTGTTTATCGGTTTTCGGCAAAATCTCCGCCGTTCCTCCAAGAATCATTCCAGAAGATGCCGTGGACGGAGTCCATGGGTCAGCCTTAGTCAGGTATCATCATCAGCTACAACGCCGGGATCAGCGCGTGCAGGAATGGCGAGCAGTGGCCGCGGGCTTTGGCATTGCTCAGGGAGATGTGGGACGCGAAGCTAAAGCCCTACGTCATCTCTCCTGCAATGGCCGTACCAGCGCTCGCGGAGGTGCCGATCGGTGGCAGCGGACTGGCCCCCTCTGTCGGCCCCGGCGAGCCCCAGAAGGCCTCGGCGCGCTTCCAAGACGGCCCAAGAGCGTTCCGAGACGCACGACGAGGCCCTCAAGAGGGTCCCCAGACGGCCGAAGACGGTCCAAGAGGCTTCCAAAACGCTCCAAGTGGGCCCCACGACGAGCCCCAAGAGAGAAATACGCCCCATTCCCCAAGGAAAACGTGCATTTCGGCAGTTCTCGGGCCTGCCCGCTTCATAGCGTCCAAGGCGGCCCTACAGGTCCTAAGTTGGCCCCCAGGACGGCTCCTGAAGCGCCCCTGGCGGCCGACGGGGTTGGGTAGCTCCGGGAGCGGCCCAGGACGGCCCCAGACGACCCCCAGGCGGTGCCCAGACTGCTCCAGAGACGCCCACGGCGGCCCTAGGCAACCCCCAAATGGCCCCGACAACGCCTCAGACGGCCTCCAGACGGCCCAAGAGGCTTTCAGAACGCTCAAAGTGGGCCCCACGACGAGCCCCAAGAGAACCCAAACACCAGAAAATCGTCCCATTCCCTAGGGAAAGCGTGCATTTTGGCAGTCCTCGGGCTTGCCCTCTTCATAGCGTCCAAGACGGCCATACAGGGTCCCAAGATAGCTCCATGACCGCTCGTGAGGCGCCCCTGGCGGCCCACGGGATACCCGAGACAGCCTCAAGAGCAGCCCAGAGGGCCCCAGGAGGCTTCCAGGAAGCCGAAAAGATCATTAGAGGCTCCTGAACGACCCCCAGAGGCCCCAAGATCACGGCCCAAGAAGCACCGAAGACAGCACCAACAGCAGCCAAAGACGGCCTGAGATGGCCACAGACGGTCCCAACACGGCTCCCAGCGCACCATGGGGCTACCATGCTTGTTTGGCGCTCCCTGCCGGATTTGGCCCCAAATCCCTCGCCCTTTTTGTGGGTCTGGAGACCTCTCCGCGGCCTCTTGGGGCCATGCCGTGTTTCGCATTTCTTGTGGCCCAGAATCGCCTCGCCTCGGTGGGGTTTATAGCTTCGGGAGGTTTTTGGAACAGTCCCCAGAGGTCTTCTGGCGGGTCTCGGCCCTGCCCTGTCATGTGGGGCAGGTTTTCGACGCCATTTCGGTCCACTTTGGGCCATCTCCGGCTCCTATCGGCGATCATTTCGAGCAATATTTGGAGTTTCATCGGGTCTTTTGGCGGGTCTCGGCCCTGCCCTATCATGATAGGGCAGGTGTTCGACGCCATTTTGGCCCGTTTTAGGCCATCTCTGGCTCTCATCGGCGCTCATTTCGGGCCACCTTTGGGGCTTCATGGGGTCTCTTCGCGGGTCTCCGCCCTGCCCTATCATGACAGGGTAGGTTTTCGACGCCATTTGTTTTTTTTGGGGGCAGGGCCCCTTCACCCTGCAATTGGACGCAGTCCACGGGTCAGCCCTAGTCTCTCCTACATGGCCGGTGGAAGCGCGTGCGAGAAGCCCAGGGCCTCAAGTGCAACATTCACGGCGCCACCACGGGGCCGAATCGCTCAGGCCGGTCTCAGAGGCGCTCCAGAGGGGTTCCCAGACCGTCCAAGAGCGTTCTAAGACGGCCTCAGCGGGTCCCGAGACGGCCCACGAGGGCCCGAAGCCTTCCGGGGGGCTCCACGATGATCCAAGAGGCCGCAAAGACGCCCCAAGAGGGCCCCGAGCGCACGCCAAAGAGGCACAAATCGTCAAATTCCGATAGGAAAACGTGTATTTCAGCATGCCCGCCTTGTGTGCTCCTCAGCGGCGCAGGACACGCCAAGAGGCCTCCCAAATCGGCCCAAGAAGACGCCAGCGGCCCCTAAGAGGGCTCCAAGACGGCCCACAAGAGCCCCAAGACGACGCCAGAGTGCCTTGAAACGGCCTCACAGAACCCCAAGACGGCCCCAAGAGAGCTCCGAGGGGGGCCCCAAGGGGCTCCCAAGACGGCCCCAGGCAGCCTCAAGAGAGCTCCAAGACGGTCCAAGGCCTCCCGGACGCCCTGTGACGGCCCAAAATGGCCCCAAGACGTCCCAGAACGCTCCTAGAGCAGCCCAAAAAAGCTTCAGAATGGCCAGAAGAAGACCCCCACAAGGACCACCAGACGCCCATGAAAAGAGCGATCGGCGAAGTACAAAGCCCCAGTGGGCCTCTAGACGGCCCCCAGACGGCCTAAGACGGCCCCGAGAGGCACCCAAGGCGGCCCAAGAGGGCCCCAAGAGGACCCCAGGAGGCAGCAAGACGGCCCAAAAGTGCCCCAAGAGGCCCCCAGGAGGCCGAAAAGGAACCCCGAGAGGCCCTCAAACAGTTCCCAAGCAGAAGGCAGCGCCCGCTATCAGGCTTCGAACAGTCACAGGTGCTCTCAAAATGGTTCAAACCAGGGGGAGCAGACAAGCGGCGGGAGGCACACCGCAGACCCACCATGGCCGTCTGTGATGCCGCTGTCCAGGCGGACGTGGAGCGGAAGGCGGACGAAGAGAAGGAAGCGCCCGCCTTCCAACTTCGGAATGGCGGCCGGAAAAAGTAACCGAAGGCTTTGGGGTGGCTTTTTCCTGGGCGGGGGCCCAAGGTGCTGGTCGTGGACGAAGTCCACGGGTTCGCCCTAGTCAGCTACAATGCTGGGATCAGCGCATGCGAGAATGGGGGGCAGTGGCAGCGGGCTCTGGCACTGCTCAGCGAGATATGCGAGGCAAGGCTGGAGCCTGACATCATCTATATTCGAATGCCGGGAGTCCAGCGGGGCAAAATCGCCCCGGGCTGGCCCCGGGCCGCCCCGGGCCGCCCAGAGAGGCTCGACGCTACGCCCAGAGAGCCCCGAGGCCAAAGCTGGCCCGACAGGGCTCCAAGGTGCTACGTGAGGCCCCCCGGGAAGCTTCCCCAGAGGGCCCCGAGCAGGAAAAACATGGATTGTCATTGTTTTTTCTGGTGTTTTTGCCGTGAATTTCGGCTTCCAAGCGATCCACGACTGCCCAAGACGTTCCCAAGACGCCTCCAAGATGGCCGAAGAGGCCCCCAAGAGAGCCCCAAGACGGGCCCACAGGGCCTCCAAGTCAGCTCAACGCGCCCCCAGAGACTGGCCCCGGGCCGCCCAGAGAGGCTCGAAGTTACGCCCAGGGAGGGCCCCAGGAGGCCCAAGCTGGCCCGACAGGTCTCCAACGTGTTCCGTGAGACCTCCCGGGAAGCTTCCCCAGAGGGCCCCGAGCAGGAAAAAACGTTGATTGTCCATGCTTTTTGCATGGTTTTTGCCGTGCTCGCCTTGTCGGGATCCATACGATCCGCGACGGCCTCAGCCCAGACGCCTCCAAGACGGCCGAAGAGAGGCCCCCCAGAGAGCCCCAAGACGGGCCCAGGGGCCTCCAAGTCAGCCCAACAGGTCCCCAGAGGTCGGCCCCCGGCCGCCCTGGGCCACCCAGAGAGGCTCGCAGGTACGCCAAGAGAGCCGGGAGGCCCCAAAAGCCCCCCAGGACCACCCAAAAAAGCCCCCGACGAGTTCCGGCGGACCCCCAAGGGGCGCCCGTGAGATCCCAACAGGTCCTCGAACGGCTCCCAAAAGCCACGGCGATGACGGCGACGACGGCGGCCACGCGACGGCCGAATTTTGTTGGAGCTCTGTTAGAGCTCGGACGCGAAGGCGCCGTCTCGCTGCCGCCGCCCCGGCCGCCGCCGTGCTTATCGGTGTCCGGCAAAATCTCCGCCGTTCCTCCGAGAACCATTCCAGAAAGATGTCGTGGCCGGAGTCCACGGGTCAGCCCTAGTAGCTACAGTGCTGGGATCAGCGCGTGCGGGAAGGGTGGGCAGTGGCAAGGAGCTTTGGCGCTGCTCAGCGAGATGCGGAAGGCCAAACTCAGGCCCGACGTCACCTATCCCACAGTACCAGGCATTGCTCTGCTGGCAGCTCCTGGGGGTGCCCGCCAGGACCCACTGGGAGGGCCTGCACCTCCTGGACGGCCCAGGCGAGTCCAAGAGTCCTCTAAGTTCGCCGAAGACGCCTCCGGCACGGTCGAGGGCGGCCTCAAGATGGCCCAAGATGGCGTCCAGAGTCAGAGGGCCCAAGACAGCCGCAAACGGCCTTCAGAGGGCCGCAATGCCTCCCAAAAGGCTCCCAGAGCGCTCAGAGAGTACGCCCGGAAGGGCCTTCCGGCGCAACAATCCTATCCCCCATATCTTCAGGATGGGATTCGTGTTCCCCATACCCAAAGGATGGGGTTCTTTCACTCACTTCCCCCCTTCTCCTCTTCCTTACCCAGAGTCACGCTCACCAAGCGCGCTCCACTACTCGCAGAGTGCCTACTCGCAAACGACCGAAAACCAGATGCTTTCTTCGATGAGATTTATCGTGGATCCCCCGCGGCGGATCTAGGCCATTTGCGAATAGTTACTTTGCGAGTAGTGGAGCGTGCTACTAAGGTCGCTATTTAGGTTAGGTTATGATGATAACAATGATGATGGTGATGGTGATGATGATAGTGCTGATGCTGATGCTGATGCTGAAAATGCTGATGATGCTGATGATGGTGATGATGACGACGACGATGATGAGTTTGATGATGTGGAGGATTATGATGGTCATGAGGAGTATGCTGACGTTGGTGATGATGGTAATGATGATGCTGTAGGTGGTGATGGTGATGATGGCAGTGGATGCTGTCACCGTTGGCAGATAATGACAATGATGATGATGCTGCTGGTGTTGCTTATGGACGTGAAAATGATGACGACGCTGCTGACGAACATGCTGATGATATTGATGATGATGGTGATGGTGATGGTTATAGTGGTTATGGTGACCAATGTGATGGTGGTGATAATGATGTTGATGATGATGATGATGTCAATGATGATGCTGATGATGGTGATGATGGTGATGATGATGCTGATGCGAAGGATGGTGGTGCTGTTAATGATGATGACAGCACTGGTGCTGATGACGATGACGATGATGAAATCGATGACGCTGACGATGAAGATGATGATAATGCTGATGATGCTGCTGATATCGCTGATGATGATGGTGATGATGATGATGATGGTGATGATGATGATCATGATGGTGGTGGCGGTGCTGATGATGATGATGACGATGATGACGATGATGATGATGATGATGATGATGATGATGATGATGATGATGATGATGATGATGCGGAGGATATCTCGAGCGAGTCTCTGGTTTTCGCACGCCCAAGGGGGGCGCCAGGGGTGGGGTGTATTGCACGGGTCCGTTCGCGCCCACATTGCGGGGACGTTTTGAGCGGTATGCCTGCTTGCACGCTTAGCATCTTCCGTTTTCGGAGCAAGGCGTTGGTTTTCGCACGCCCAATGGGGGGGGCACCATACCATGGGGTAGTGCGCGGGCCAGTTTGCGCCCAGATTGCGGGGATCTCTCGAGCGATTTGCCTGTCTGCATGCTCAACATCCTCCGCTTTCGGAGCAGATTCCAGACTCTGAGGATATCTGGCTTTTGTTCCCAAGGGAGGGCCGCAAGGGGGTATCTCACTCCTCCGTTCGCGCCCAGTGTGTGGGGACGTCTCGAGCGGTTCGCCCGTTTGCGTGCTCAACATCCTCCTCTTTCGGAGCAGATTTGAAGGATGTCTCGAGCGAGGCGTTGGTTCTCGCACGCCCAAGGTCAAGGGAGGAAAAACCACCCAGACCCGACAATTGGCATTTCTTAGACGGTCTTGGGCGTTTATCAAACAGCTTTGCCCTGTTCGATTCCTTCTGTGGGTGCGTTTGCTAAACGGCTTCGCGTGTCGGGGTGCTAATTCGGGGGGGTAAATTTTCTACCCTCCACAAGGAGGGGCGCCAGGGGGTATCTCATTCTTGCGTTCGCTCGCAGATTGCGGGGATTTCTCGAGCGGTTTGCTCGATTGCGTGCTCAACACCTTCCGCTTTCGGAGCAGATTTGGAGGATGTCTCGAGCGAGGCGCTGGATTTCTCACACCCAACGGGGGGCGCCAGGGGGTATCTCACTCTTCCGTTCGCGCCCAGATTGCGGGGACGTTTCGAGCGGTTGTCTTTTTTTTGCGTGTCCAACAACATCTTCTGCTGTCGGGGCAGATTTTGAGTATGTCTCGGGCGAGGCGTTGGTTTTCGCACCCCAGGAGGCTCAGATTGCGAGGATGTTTCGGGCGCTTCGCTTGGTTTGGTGGCTAGATCCGCTTGCGTTCAGAGCAGATTCTGACGATTTTTCGGGTGAGGCGCCAGTCAGCTACAACGCTGGGATCAGCGCGTGCGAGAAGGGTGTGCAGTGGCAGCGGGCTCTGGCGCTGGTCTGCGAGGTAAATGAAGCGCAGCTGGAGCCCGATGCCATCAGCTACAACGCTGGGATGCTAGCGTGTGAGCACAGCGGGCAGTGGCAGCAGGTATTGTCGTTGCTCAGCAAAGCGAAGGAGGCAGGTTTGGATACGGATGCTGACATGTGTACTACTGTGACTAATGCATGCGAGATGGGCGGGCAGTGGCAAATGGCATCGTCAGTCCTCGACAACTTGTTGTTGAAGTTTGGGCGCTACTTTGTCGAGTAGAGCTGCGAGAACAGGCTGGTGTTAGGAGCATGTGTTCTTGGTGCAGGCTGCTTGTTTTGCAAGTCGATTCTGGTCTCGACGTCATGAGCTTCCTTGCTAGATCCAGCGGTGGGACGGCTGGTAATGACAACGCGCACTATGTCGCACCGCAGATGTAGGCGAAGCGTAGCTGGAGTTGTAGCTCATCTATTGCATTTAGGGGCCATTGCGGCGACTAGGTCAGGCATTCCCAGGATGTGGTGGTCTCGTTGCTTTGCAAGTCGGACACTGCAGGGGTACGCTCAGAAAGACTGTCCTCAGCGAGTTGTGGAAGTGCATTCCAGAGCGAACCGGATGATATGCACAGGCCAGCCCTAGCTTCCCTAGACATGCGATGTTCTAATTCCGCACCCCACAGGTTGGGGTTGTTAGATTTCAAGAAGAGCAGACCTCCACCTCCGGACCCGTCCACTCCGCATACCGCGGCCGCCAGATCCCCGGTACTACACCAGGCCAGAACCGAACCGAACATAATCTAGCACAGTATCACGTATACGCCGGCCACCACTTCACGGCGTCTCATCAAGCGCGACATGCGCCCCGTCGTATGAGGAGGACGGGGCGTAAGGAGAGGTCCGCCTCACCACCACCTCCTCTTTGTTCCTCCGCCTCCTCCTCGTGCTGCTGCTGCCGCTGCTCCTCATCTTGCTCTTTCAACTGGCTGCAGATTCTCTCCGAACATGTTCTCTGAGTTTCGCAAGACTCGTTTGGGGGGCTGGTTGGTCGCTCCGGGGACTTGTGTTTCGGTCTCCTTTCGTCAGGGGCCCTGGGGCTGTCAGACTTTTGGAAGACCTCACCCCGCGACCTGGCGCCCGGACGCGCTGCGCTGGCCGAGACGCCGGGCCCCTTCGCACCTCGGTTTCAGGAGGCGCGCGCCCCGCTTTGAACAAGCGGCGAAGGTTTTTCTTTGAGGATCGCTCGAAGCAACATACGCTTTTCATCGGAGGTGAGGGGGTGAGATCGAAATGGAACGGAGAGCTCCCCTACGGGGAAATCGTTTTCGGTTTCGTGTTCGTGCGTGCCGTGCGTGCGGGCGAGGCGACGCTGCGTGGGCGGGCGAGAAGAAAGTCTCCTTCGGCTGAGGCGCGGCCGGACCAAATGTTTCCTTTCGGGGAGCCAGTGGGGCGCGGTGTCCCGCCGATGTCCCGCCTCCGGCTGAGGCGCGGCCGGACCAAATGTTTCCTTTCCAGGGGCCGGTGGGGCGCGGTGTCCCGCAGGTGTCCCGCCGGTGTCCTGTCGGTGTCCCGTTGTTGATGATGATGATGATGATGATGATGATGATGATGATGATGATGATGATGACGATGGTGTCCTGATGATGAGATGATGATGATGCTGATGAGGATGCTGATGTTGGTGATGATGATGATGATGATGGTGGTGATGATGATGGCCATGGTGGTGATTAGGATGGTGTCCCGATGATGATGTTGATGTTGATGATGCTGATGTTGCTGATGCTGATGATGGTGTCCCGGTGATGATCCTGATGATGTTGATGGTAAGATGATGAGATGATGATATGATGATGTTGTTGATGAGGATGATGTAGATGATGATGATGGTGTCCCGATGATGATGGTGATGATGAGGTTGATGATGATGCTTTTGATGATGATGGTGATGATGATGACGATGGTGTCCCGATGATGATAATGTTGATGATGATGATGGTGACGATGATGGTGTCCCGATGATGATGATGTTGGCAATGAGGAGCATGATGAGGTGATGATGGTGTTGATGATTTTGATGATGGTGGCCCGATCATGATGCTGATGCTGATGATGATGGTGATGATGATGGTGACGATGATGATGGTGTCCCGATGATGATGATGCTGATGATGATGGTGTTACTGAAAATGATGATGATGACGATGATGACGGTGCCCCGATGAGGATGATATTGATGCTGTTGTTCATGATGATGATGATGATGATGATGCGATGATGGTGATGATGGTCATGCTGGTGATGTTCCGATGCTTATGATGATGGTGCCCCAAGGATGATGATGTTGATAATGATGATGGAGACGATGATGGTGCCCCGATGATGATGATGATGATGATGATGATGATGATGATGATGATGATGATGATGGTTATGCTTATGTAAATGATGATGGTGATGAGGTGATGATGATGCTGGTTTCCCGATGGTGATGATGATGATGATGATGATGTTGATGACGTTGATGACGATGATGGTGATGATGATGAAGATGATGATGATGATGATGATGATGATGATGATGATGATGATGATGATGATGATGATGATGATGACGTTGATTGTGAGATCGAGTGACATCGATAGTGGGATCGATAGTGAGACCGAATGTGAGATCGATTGTGAGATCGATAGTGAGATCGATTGTGAGATTGATTGTGAGATCGATAGTCAGATCGATTGTGAGATCGATCGAATGAAATAGATCGAGAGAGGTCGATTGTGAGATCGATCGAGTGAGACCGATAGTGAGATCGTTAGAAATCGATCGAGTGGGACGTTGGTTCCTCCCCCCTCGAACCTCCTCATCACCCGAAGGGCGGTCGTATAGGTATGATTATGTTGGCTGCCATCGCTTCACTGAAATGACGAATACTTACTGGTCACTCGCTCTGATAAAGTTGGGGCACCAGGTCGCTCCACCCAAGGTCGCCCAGCACGGGGTCCCCGAAAGTCCCGCCCTCCTCCTCGGGACCGATTTTTCCTCGTTCTCTCTTCTTGTCCCCGGGCCCGTGGAGGGCCCCCCAGGGGCCCAGAGTTGCCCAGAGCCTTCCGCCCTGACATTTTGTCGGGGCGCGAGAGGGAGGGGGAGGGAGGGGGAGGGAGGGAGAGGGAGGGAGAGGGAGGGAGAGGGAGGGAGAGGGAGGTTGAGGGAGGGGAGGGAGGGAGGGGGCCTGCCATTGGGCCTTCTACACTGCAGGGGGGGGGGGGCCGCGCGTCACAGCAGGGTCCTGCTCAAAGCATCTCCTGGAACTTCCTGAGAAGTCCACAACGCTTAAGTCGGGCGTGTCCCTCTACAGGAGGAATATTCAGAAATAGCCACAACAAAGTTGTGTGAGGACGATTTTCTAAACATATGTTTGGCTATTTTTTAATATTCCCCTATCAGTGCTTGCACTGAAGGGGTCCTAGCGGATGTTGAAGGATTTGGCGAAAGTTCCCCGCCGATTTTGGTGGCAGGCTGGGTTCCGGGGTTTCCGGGTTCCGGGTTCCCGGGTTCCGGGTTCCGGGCCGATTTCGGAGGGCGGCCAGGTTCCCGGGTTCCCGGGTTTCTGGTGAATTTTCTTATCGATCGGTCTCACCATCGATCTCATTACCGATTTCTCGACCGATCTCACCATCGATCTCACAATCGATCTCACTATCAATCTCACAGGCGATCTCACTAGAGATCGCATGAGCGATCTCGCGATCGATCTCACTATCGATCTCATTGAATCGATTTCACTCTTGGTCTCACGATCGACCTTACAATCGTCCTTGCGATCAATTCCACGATCGATGTCATTGTCGATCTAACCATCGCTCTCAAGATCCATAGTATCAATTCTCAAATCATCCACTGATTGCCGTTTTCTCAGGTGTATTTTTTTTGGACCGGTTGCATTTTCCATCCAATATCCGCCCGTAGGAGGACCTGCCCTCGGGGCGCTTCCAGGACTCGGGAGGGCCCAAAAGGCACACGGGCACAATGAGTCGTCGATCCCCAGGAAGGGATGGGAAGCTACAGTCAGGGCGCCGAAGAAGGAACCCTTCTCGTTGGGGAGGGGCTCGGTGTTCCTTGATTGTTTTACAGCTTGGCTTGGGTTGTCCTGAGGTTTTCGATGGGAGATTCAAGCTTAACTTTTGGGATCAAGGGGCCTCGTTCCGTATCTAAGGTTCCTTAGGTCAACGCCCCGACTGTATGGGAAGTGGGGGGGAGACGAAAACCCAACAGAGATGGTGAAGATATAGGGGAACCCTGGGATTAGTGTGCAGTTGCCTGTGTGTCCACAGCGCCCCGGGCGTCTGCCCGAGCAGACCCCGAGAGACCCGGGCGGCCTCGGGGCGCTTCCAGGACGCGGGAGGGGAGACAAGCACACAGGCACAGTGAGTCGTCGATCCCCAGAAGGGGATGGGCAACAATTGTGGGAAGTGGTGGGGGGGGAGACGAAGACCCAACGGATCTCGGGGCATATATGGAGAAGTCCTTGGACTTCTCCGTGCATTTGTCTGTGTGTCCCTGGGCCCCACTCGAGGGACCCGAGCGGCCTCGGGGCGCTGCCAAGACCTTCCCACAAGAGGGCCCCACTGCGGAGCCCCCTCGGAGGGCCCATGGAGCGGCCCGGAAGAGCCTCGCCCTCGAGGCCTCGAAGGAGTCGATGCCACTTCTAGGCGGCGAGCGAGGGAGGGAAATTATACACCAGAGAAAACCCCAAGTCAGTGGATGGTTTGAAATGGGATCGATAGAGAGATCGATAAGGAGATCGGCCGGGAACTTAGGAACCCGGGAACCCAGAACCCACCGAAATCGGCCCGGAACTAACATCCAGGAACCCAGGAACCCGGGAACCCGGAACCGGGAACCCTGGAACCCAGCGGGCTACCCAGATCGGCGGGAAATGTTCGCCAAATCCTTCAATATCCGCCAGGACCCCTTCAGTGCAGGCACTAAATGGGGAATGAGAAGGAGAAGGCCTTCTCAGAAGGCGGCGGGGCTTCTCGTAAGCCCTCGCGCCTTCTGAGGAGTGTTTTTTTGTCTTCGGGGAAGGTGTAGAAAGCTTCTCAGAAGGCCGGGCGACGTCGAGCCTGCCAAGGAGCCCTTCTCCTTCTCTCTTCCTCCCCTCGCTCGCCGCCGAACTTCCTCGGCGGACGGCGGCGGAAGATCGGCGGAAGGTGGTGGAAGCAAAACCAGGCTGCCTCCGCCTGCAGCAGCCGCCAGACGGCTGGCGGAGGCCAGCCGAACCCGCATGGATCGGGCAGTGGCGAAGTGTCCTGAATTGCCTATAGGCCCAGCAAATAAGGTTCTGGGAACTTTTTGGTGATTCGCACGAAATGTTCTTAGAACATTCCTGGCTGGGACTGTCTTGTTTTGACACATCGGGTTTATGTTTTAAGAGTATTGCTTTTGTTTTCATACCATGTCTTGGTTCTAAGACCATATCGTGGTATGACTATAGGAATGCCGGGACCGTCGCTACCTGCTCAATTGAGGGTTCTTTGAGCCCGCATGGAGCCACCGAGACGCTTCCTGACGACGCTGAGGTGGCCGCTCCACGAGGGCTGCGCCGAAGGTCCACAAGATGCTACGATTCCGTTTGGTGTTCGTGCATTGTCATTATTTCCCGTTTGTTGGCCTTGGATCGTTCCGTAAGGGGCCCAGGCACTTCCACGTGGGCCCCACGAGGGCCCACTGCGCCCCCAAGGATGCCTCAGAGTGGCCTGGCCAGGTTCCCAGACGGCCAGAAGACAGCCACAAGACGGCACAATATCGCGCCCCAAGGCCCCTCAGTGCGGCCCCGACCCCTTCCCACAACAGCACCCGCAGGCCCCAAGGGACGTCCAGAGGGCCCCAGGAGGCGCGAAGGGGCTTCAAGGGAACCCAAGAGGCCACACAGAGGGCCCACTACTCTTTGTTGACCCACAGAGGGCGCTATGAGGGGCCCGCTGTGAGACCAGCTGCTCGGCCACACGTGCACATATGGCATTGGGACAGTCGTGCGCTTGCCGCTTCTCTAGCCTTCCGCATGACGTCTCTCTCCTTGCTTCTGGCTTCACGCATTTCATTCCTCGCCGATCTCTCTCTCTCTCTCTCTCTTTCTCTCTCTTCGTTCCTCGCCTTTCCCTTCTCGCTCATGGCTTGCTTATGGCTTATGGCTTTTCTCTGGTCACGCTTCCTTGCTTATCTCTCCTGGTCTCTCGCTCCTCCCTCTTGGCTTCTGGCACCTGCCTCCCTTCTCCTCATTCCTCGGTTCTCCCTCTTCCATCATTACCCCCAGCTCTCCTCGGCCGTCGCTCCTGCTTTTTCGCTTTCTGCTCCTCGCTGATCGCCCCTTACTTTGCCCATGGCCCTCTTCGACCCTGATGCCTCTCTCTTTGCCCCTCGCCTCCCCTTCCTCGTCCCAGAGTGCGCCCTCTGGCCAGAGTGCCGAGAGGCAGCACCTTGCAGCCTCAAGCGGCAACGCAGAACAGCAGCAGCACGCAGTCCGCAGCAAGCAGGACCAGCGGCGTCACGCAGCAGCAGCAAGCTGAAGCAATCATCAGCAAGCAATGTCAACAAGCAGTGGTCTGCAGCAGGCAGCAGCACCCTGCAGCCGCAGGTGTCAGCTGCAGAGGTAAGGTTCGGCTCATCCAGCAACACCTCCGCCCCGACCCCTCGTCCAGTTCGAGCAGACGTTGTGTCCGGTAGGCCACGGGTCATCCCTAGTCTCTACTACATTGCAGGGCCCAGTGCGTGCCAGAAGGGCGCAGGCCCCAATGCACCAAAACCGCCCCGGGCTGGCCGGGGGCCGCCCCGGGCCGCCCAGGCAGGCTCCAGGACATGTCGAGAGGGCCCCCAGAAGCCCCCAAGACGGCCCCGGAGAGCCCCGGCACGCTTAAAGATGGGCCCAAGACGCCCGAGATTCGCCCCAGACGGCCCAAGAGGCGTCCAAGACGCCCGAAGAGGCCTCCCAAGAGGCCTCCCAAGAGGGCCCCGAGCGACAGAAATCGCCGATTTCTATTGTGTTTTTCTATGTTTTCGGCCTCCTCGCCTCTTCGGCTTCCCGACGCTCCAAGACGGCCCAAGAAGTCCCCCCGACCGCTCCAAGACGGCCGAAGAGGACCCCAAGAGAGCCCCAAGACGGGCCAGGAGGGCCCCAAGACGGTCCCAAGACGCCCCAGGACGGCCCCAGGACGGCCCAGGAGGCGCCCCAGACGGCCCAAGAGGCACCCAAGACGGCCCCAGGAGCGGCCCAAGACGGCCCAAGACAGCCCAAGAGGCGCCGAGGCGGGCCTCAGACGGCCCCAAGACGGCCCAAGAGGCACCCAAGACGGCCCGAGAGGGCCCTAAGAGCCCCCCCGGGAGGCCCAAAAGAAGGCCGAAGAGGCTCCGAAACGGCCCCCACGAAGCCTTCAGTGCTTCAGAATTCCCTCCAGGAGCGGGGGAGCGGACGAGAGGCGACAGGCATATCGCAGGCAAAAACGCCCCAAGAGATCCCCAAACGGCCCCCACGAAGCCCTAAGTGGCCTCAGAATTGCTTCCAGGAGGGGGGGAGCGGACGAGAGGCGACCGGCATATCGAAGGCACAAAAGAACAATGTTGGACGCTCCGAGGGCCTTCGATGTTTCTCTGTTGGGGAGAGTCGTCGTAGGATCGACGATTGCCGACCGAGGGCATGGAGAATCCAGCGAAAGAGGAGAAGAAGGTGGAAGAGGAGGAGGAGGAGGAGGAGGAGGAGGAGGAGGAGGAGGAGGAGGAGGAGGAGGAGGAGGGGGGGGAGGAAGCAGCAGGACCTCCGAGCAGCAGCAGCAGCTGAGGAACACAGGAGAGCCCGACGCCATCATGATTGCCTTCCGGCCCTGCAGCCGCACCCCCCCGCGCTTGCCCAGAGACCCCTCGCCACGTCGAGCTGATGTCGTGGACGGAGTCCACAGGTCTGCCCTAGTCAGCTACAGCGCTGGGATCAGCGCGTGCGAGAAGGGCGAGCAGTGGCATGGTGCTCTGGCGCTTCTCCGCGAGATGCGGGAGGGGAAGCTAAAGCCCAATGTTGTCAGCTATAGCGCTGGGGACAGCGCGTTCGGGAAGGGTGAACAGTGGTACCAGGCGCTGGCGTTTCTCAGTGAGGTTTCGGAGGTAAAAGATGGAGCCCAACGTCATCTACAGCGCTGGAATCAGCGCGTGCGGGAAGGGTGATCAATGACAGCTGGCTCTGGCGTTGCTGAGCGAGATTTGGGAGGCGAAATTGGAAGCCGACGGCATGAGCTACATTTTGTGCATCACAGAGTATGAGAGGTCGTCTCGCAAGTCGGCAGCATTCCCAGGCTATCTTGGGATCGAGCTTTCGCGTTTTCGCGTGTCTTGCGAACCACTGGGCGTGTGGGAACTTGCTGGGTAACCACTGTGATTATGTGGACGGCCATATATTTTTGGATTTGACAGCGGCGTCCAACGCGCAGGAAGCGTTTGTGAAATTCAGGCGTACAGTGAAAGTTTGGTCCTGCAGCTGCTCAGCGACATGTCGATTATGAAGCTGGAGGACAGCTTCTCAGCGAGTTGCGGGATGCAAGGTCGGAGCCCGTGACCAGCAGCTACAGCGCAGGAATCAGCGAGTGCGAGAAGGGCGAGCAGTGGCAGCGGGCTCTGGCGTTGCTGAGCAAGATGTGGGAGGCGAAGTTTGAGCCGGACGTCCGCATCTGCAGCGCTGGGCTTCTCGCGTATGAGGAGTTCGAGCAGTGGAAGCGTGCTTTGTCGCTGCTGAGCGAGATGTGGCCGCGAAGCTGGAATCCGACGCCATCAGCTACAGCGTTGGAATCAACGCGTGCGAGACGAGCGAGCAGTGGCCGCCGTCTCTGTCTCTGCTGCGCAAGATTTGGCAGGCGAAGCTGGAACCCGGCGTCATCGGTTACAGCGCTAAACTCAGCGCGTGCGAGAAGTGCGGGCAGTGGCAGCAAAGTCCGGCGCTGCTGAGCGATGTGCGGGAGGCGACGCTGGAGCCCAGTGTCACAAGCTACAGTGCGTGGATCAGCGCGTGGGAGACGGGCGAGCAGGGGCAGCAGGCTCTGGCGCTGCTGAGTGAATGTGAGAGGTGGTGCTGGAGCCCGACGTCACCAGCTAGCTACAGAGGCGCTGGGATCAGCTCTGGGACTCGGGAATTGTCGGCACCCGCTGCGCCACGTTGCGTTGATGACGGCGGGCATGCCGCGGATGTGGTTTCCCTGAGTCGCTTCCGCGCGTGAGATGGGCTGAGAGGATTGCTGTCCGTGTGCCCGGGTGCCTTGGTTCTTTGTGTCTCTTGTCCCTCCGCTTCCTCATCTTCTTTCTTCGCCTCCCTCGTTTCTGCCTCCTTCCTCGCTTCCTCCCTCCTAGTCCCAACTATGGGTTGCCTGGTGGAGGCGTGATGCTATCTGCGCTTCCTGTTGTTTCACGCGCGACATCGGCATACCTAATTGTCGGGCTGTGGTGGGCGTGGAAGTATTTGTGATTGAGTTGGGGTGGGCCCTTTGTCCTCTTACCTCCCCCCTCTTTCTCCCTCCCTCTCTCCCTCCCCGTCCTGAAGGGCTGGGTTGAGCGCGGGGTCGCCCAAAAGGTCCTGGACTTCGGATGCAGGAGCGGCCAGCTCTCAGGCTCAGCCTTGGCGCGGCGTCGCGCACTGAGAAGAAGGACCAGGCTGGGGGAGGTCCGCGTGCTGCGGCTATGGACCACCGTGCCGTGCGGCGTGAGTGGTCGCTGATCCCAGTGGAAGGCAAGCGGGATTGAGTCGGCGCAGCAGCCACTGTCGAGGAGACGCACACATGGATTCAGGCGCGTGGATCAGCCACGGGTTTTCTCTCCATACAGGATCGGCGCGCCCCGCCACCAAATCGGGCGGCACTGGCGCCATTTTTGTCGGGGCCGCCTCGCCCGATCCATGGATCTCGCGACCGCGCACCCGATCCACGTCTCCCTAATCTGAAGTCGGGCCTGTCCCTCTATCGGAGGAATCTCCCAAAACAGTCGAACAATAGACTTTGCTGAGCATCCTCCTTGGGCATTTTTAGGCATGTCTGAAGTGTGCTTAATTTTTCGCCCGAATTCCCCCTGTATGGGGCCCAGAGATCCAACGCATTGACAAAATCGAGACGGAGGTTTTTCGTTACTTTCGGCCTCGAGGGGACCTTTCTGGCTGGGGTTGTCTTGGTTTGTCACATCGGGCTTCTGATCTAAGAACCTTGCTTTCGTTCTGAGAACATCTTCGGGTTCTAAGAACATGTCGTGGGAGGCCTATGGAAATGCCAGGACGGTCGGTCCCTGCTCAACCAGAGATCAAACGTATGACAAAAATCAGGACGGCGGTGTTTCCCAATTCTCGGCCTCTGGGAGCCTTCGCCGGGCCATGGGACCGTCAAAACACGGCTCAGGATGAAAAACCGTTCCGGGGGAATGGGTCGAGGCTTCCGGGGTCCGCGCATTGAAAAAAAAAAAAAGACGTCGGATCTCTGGGTCGGCGGTCGTGCAGCGTGACGTTCTGGCGGCGGCCGGCACCTGCTTCGGCTGGCTGCGGGGCTACGGCTTGCGGGCTTGCCTTGGGCCCGGGGGGGCCCACGCCCAAGAGGCACCCTGGCCAGTACAGGAGCAACGCAGGCGGGCGCAGCATCCGGCGAGGCGAAGCCCGAAGTCCTGGGCGACAGGTTGGACGAGGCTTCGTGGGGAAAGCTGCGCGGCATCACGGCGTCGACAGGCCACAGCGCGGCCGCGGCGCCACAGCCTGGTCCATGGGGCGGCCCAGGGGCCGCGAAGCAGGATCTTGGGGGCTGTCGGTGGCGGCGCGGTGGTGGCTCCTTCGTCGACGGAGTGACCCTCCCCGGGAAGTTGCCACTCAGGGGCACGGGCGGCACCTGGCTGTGGAGCAGCAGCGACGCCACAGACAGCGGCTCGAGCGCCGAGTCCTCCGCCTGGATGGGGTGCCGGTCTGCCGCCGCATCCCGGCAGCGGCCCTGGCCGGAACAGAGCAGCAGGCCTGTCCGGGCCGCGGGCCCCGGCAATGGCACCCTGGGCACGGGGCAGCGGGAGCGCCCTCCTCCTCCTCCCCCTCCTCTTCCCTCCTCCTCCCTCTCCTCCTCCTCCTCCTCCTCCTCCTCCCCCTCCCCCTCCTCCTCCTCCTCCTCCTCCTCCTCCTGCCCTACGCGTGGGCACTGGGTACCGTATCCTGGTACTCAGTCTTCACGTACAGGGCATACTATCAGGGCTGCTCGCTGCAGCAGGCAAGGAGGGAAGCAACCGGGTCCAATTTTCGGAACCAGCGGCAAGCAGTTTGCTTGTCCGCATGTGGCGCCTTAGCTGCGCCCGTGGCCTGGAGGTGGGTACCAGGCACGGGGATTGCGCATTTGGTCGGGAGGTGGGGTCGTGTGGCCCGTGAACCCCATGGGACCTTGTGTCCACCCGCCCTGGACTTGTCGTATTCGTACAGTCCGATTGCGCATGCCGCTCGATTCGGCAGGGTTGGTCGTGGTTTTCCTGGCCGAGGAACTTGAAATAACGGTGAAGGCTTCAGGGGACCATGCCACCCTACGCACCGAGCCGTCTCGTGCGGGCAGCGAGTCACGGCCGACGTGGTCTTCTCACCGTTCCTTGGTCTGCTTGTTGGGAAGACATGGTCTTTTTACAGTCTACAGTCTCCTCCTCCTCCTCCTCCTCCTCCTTCTCCTCCTCCTCCTCCTCCCCCTCCTCCTCCCTCCTCCTCCTCCTCCTCCACCTCCT